AAAAATTAATTTAAAAAGATGAGTCTGTGATAGATTCTCTGCTCTCATAAACTCATTATATTCATAATCAGCTAAAAGAAGACATTTTAATGAAGTTTCAACTTTGAATTGAATCATATGCATATAAAATATATACTATTGAAGAAGTCTTTCATCAATTAGATGTTCTATTCTTAAATTTTACACTGCAAGCACATGCAATGCAGTGGCTGAACAGAAATCATTAGAGAAATATCATCTTAGTGAATTATTATTATTATTATTATTCTTTCATTATAAATGTATACAGTTAGTGACTATGACATCTATCTGAAATACTCCAGGATTTTTCAACTTAAGAATAAAGATCTTCTTACTCATATCAAACGACGGGATTTGGAAATATTGAAATTTTAAAAGGAAAAAGGTCTTTACTTTTATATAAATACACTGAAAACGATAGCGAACGATAGCCCTGATCGCAGGGAATCTCACGACACCCAGAAATCCCCAGTTGAGGTGGTGCTGGTGCCATGGTTGTGATGGAGGAAATCGTGGGACGCGCTGACGGACGCCCGCGAGAAGAAAACTCTGACAAGAGGCAGCAGCCCACCACATGTGGAGCAATATTGACACAGTTGAGCAATGTTCTTTGCAATGGGAGCGAAGATCCTGCCATCAACGGCAAAGGGAAGGAGGTAGTGGAGGAGGCAGCCAGGTTGGTGAGGGAGTTGAAGGTCAAACTGGGGGAGGTGATGCTGGCCAAGGTGGAAGACGCGACCGTGGCGACACGCGCACAACGCCAACCCGAAGGAGTGAAAGAAGCCAAACTGTCATCATGGGCCAAGGTCGCAGGACAGGGAATTCCAGAAAAACCAGTGCCTAACCGAACCCTCCGCGAGATTACTGTCCTACGCCGGGACTGCGAAGCCCTCCCAGCTGAGGAGGCCACCCCCCCAGCGATTGTGGCAGCCGTCAACGCCAGAATTGTGGATGTGACAAAGGGGAAAGGTGCTTGCAGCAAGATGTCTCCCCAGTGGAGACATCATCCTTGACAACCGATGCGAGGGAGACCAGGGAGGCTTGACTAAGAGCAGCACATGGCTTGAAGTCTTGGGACGAAGGCGATGGCAAAGCACACCCTGTACCCAGTCATGGTTAAGGGAGCCCAATGGGCAACCCAACTGCAAAGGAGGAACAGCAAGCCATTCAAGGCATTTTACGCACAGAATGAAGGACTTCCCAAAGAGGGGTACAAATTTGAGGACTGTCTCTCACCACCGGAATGGCCATCCTTTGCCGGCCAAAGGTTGGGGTTCTCTTTGTTCTTCAGGGTTCACCTTCGCCCT